AAAAGTAGAATGTTGAGGTCTGAAATGTAAGCAGACTGGGTAGAATTACTGGAGGGCATCTTGTTTAGGGCAAGGAAAAAAGTGAACTGTTAACCTTAATTCACCTGACCTTACTTGCAACTGAGGCACATGATAACAGCAGTAGACTTGTCAGAATTGTAAAGGATTTGGAATGCCTGAAGTCACCCTACATTTGAAATTGACTTTTAATTAAGCCAGCAAAATAAAGGCAAAGAAAGACCTACCTTTTCTTTTAATAGTTTCTCTAGCCAAAGTACAACTATAAAAGCATTTTTAATCAGTATGGAATTGGACCAAAACATGTCTTGCTCAATCTAAATATGTAGGAAAATTTTCATTTCACAAGAGGTCTGCATGCTAGTTTGTTGTGCAAGACAGCTCCCCTGGCCATTACTGCTGAATTATTCTCCCAGTTCTCAATGATAAAAACTTCTGTTAATTCTGGTATGTTGAAATAGTGTCTGTTCATTCTCTGCAGCTGCACTATCATGCAAATCTTTGCATGTGGAGTGAGCACATCTGGTTGTCTGCTAATATTAAATTATAACCAGTTTGAGGTGTTTGTCTCGTATATGGCTGGTCAACAGCTCATTTTCTTAATGGCAGACATCAGTGAGGAAATAGCAACCCTTAATGTATTTTAAAGGAACAGTTAAATTGTTTTGACTGATAAGATTCATTGACCTCATAAAAGGTTTTTTTTTCTGATAAGACAGCTGCAAGTGAAATCAGAATAAGTAATATATTAGAAAAATAACCTTTTATCAGTTTTGTAGGGAATGTGGTTGGAAGAATGAAAGACTGCAATGAAAAATGTAATTCATATAGGAAAAAGACTGCCTTAACTTGCTTTATGTTAAACAAAATATTAAATGTCATCCTCTTCAAACTTCTTAAAGTATCTAACTGAAACGCAGTATGGTTATGGTGATTTTGTCATTAGCACTCAACAGTATATAAACATTTTAAAAGGTGGCATTTTTGTTGGAGTTGGCTTATCATGCATTATGTACACCACATTCAAGAATAACTCTTTTACTAGCTGCAAACAGTAAATACATGTAACAATCATATATAAAAACATTTTTCACCTATATTACATATTGGATGTTAATGAAGACTTAAAAATGCAATGCTTTTATTAATTTGCATATAGGTTTAATAGTGAATGATCTGAGGGGAACTGCTACGTCATTTTCTGGTTTGCTCTTCTGCAGCTATGTGTAGGAGTAGTCTTAGCTTGGCTCTGCTCAACAGCCAGGTCTGCAGAAGGTTCATAGCTGCAGAAGGGAACCTGGAAGTGGTCAGAGCAGTCACTGACTTATCAAGTTCCCATCTAGAATTCTGCATCAGCATTGCTTTCTAAATGAGCCTGATCTTGAAAAAGGAAATCTAATATTTACTGATTTTGCTTTGCAGTTGCTGTTGCAGAAACTGTTTCATGATGAATATTTATACCATTCATGCCACACCTGTACTGAGCTCCTGATATAACAAATATTTATTCTCTGTGTTTGTGTAAGGTCTGTTGAGAAAAATCTGCTGTAAAGAGGATAATGACATGGCCATCTCCCTATTTCATGAGGATGGTGAATTAGTTGTTAGTTACTTTGGAAATCCCAGAGGTGGCAGTGCAATCCATTGTGTTAGGGATTATATAAACACAGAGGACTTTGTCATATTGAATTTGTCTTTTGAAGTCTCAGCTTTGCAAATACGTATGTGTTTGCTTAGCTTAACTATTACGATTAATGCCACAGTAATTGGTACCTAATATTGAGCAAAATATGAGGATAGGACAAATCACACAGAAAAGGCACAGAGCAGAAAAAGGAAGCAGTTAAAAAGCCTTCAGTTAATGTATTAGGTGTATGTTATATATTACATAGTCATCATTCTTTTGTAATTAGAAAATAACTTGTCTTGATTTGAAGTTCTGTTAATATTTCCCTCCTAATTACATCAGTCTAATTAATACAAATATTCAGACTATTTGCTCTTTATTGCTGCTTTTCTCTTTATTAATCTCTTACCAAAGGAAAAAAAAAAAAGATTAAAATGAAAAAGCTTATGAAAGCTGGGGATGAAATCTGTAAGCAGGTGATAACTAAAGTTTTAGCTTACCCGAATTAAAAAAAAACTAACAACAACAAAGAAAGCAAGCTAAACAAGTGCAGTTAACAGAGATGCAAATGGATATCAGATTCAAGCAATGTAACCCATGGCACAGTCTGATTGATATTAACACTTAAGCTGCAAATATTCTTCATAATTCTGGATTAAATACATTTTACTACATTTTCCTATGCTGAACAGTTTATTATGCATAAGCTCTAACTCCACATCCAGTTCAAAACTGCCAAGAGCAATAAGAATTTCAATAGTGATGCTTAATGTTAAAACAGATACTCATCTGGAAGACAGCCTATTGCATATGACTGTTGGAATTCTGGCTGGTTAAGTTATGTTCCATAGATAATGATATAATGCTTGTTGTGATGCTATAATACAATTCTATGATGCTTCCACATATCTCAGATCTTGGTTGTTTATTTCTTGTATAACTTGTTGAGCAAACCCAGTTAGTATGTTTCTTCAGGTATTGTCAATCATTTAAACCTGTGCTTTCAGCAGTTGATCTTTCGTTAAGATGTCTTACTTCTCCCTCTCCTTCATGACCAGAAATGGATTTGGGAACATTTCTTAAAAATTTAGTGGCATTTACAGGTTCCACAGCTGTGGCAAAAGCTTAATATGGTGCTTACGTTTTCTAAGGCAGTAATGCGAGTTAGTAGCTCAGCTGTCTTCCACTTCACTATGGGCAGCAGTGACTTGTGTTCTCTCCTCCTTGAGCCTTGTCCACACTTGCAGCTCTTAGTTCCTGTGGCTATGAAGGATTCCTGTACTGTATATAGTGTGCCCTGGCCTGCTCACAAACTTTACAGCAGTTCTACCTCTGTCTCTTGTGTTGTGCCAGGTGTGTGGTGTATAGGTATCTTGTGTACAGATATCTAGTATTATCAGCATTCCTCCTAGATCATCATCTGACATTATCTACTTTCTTGTCCATTTAAACTTGTGGTTACTTTTTTCATTGCCCTTTCTGTCTCTGTCACATGTAGTATCCATAATGTTGAAGAATTATTCTTTTTCTGTGTGCGTCACTTTCACAAGGAAGAGCACACCCTCTATTTAAAGTCATTGGCGATGTTAGGTGAAAGACATTATGAGACCTCACTTGGAGTACTGTGTACAGTTCTGGTGTCCTCAACACAAAAAGGACATGGGACTGTTGAAACAAGTCCAGGGGAGGGCCACGAGGATGATCAGGGGACTGGAGCACCTCCCGTATGAAGACAGGCTGAGAAAGTTGGGGCTGTTCAGCCTGGAAAAGAGAAGGCTGCGTGGAGACCTCATAGCAGCCTTCCAGTATCTGAAGGGGGGTTACAGAGATGCTGGGGATGGGCTATTCATTAGGGACTGTAGTGATAGGACAAGGGGTAATGGGTTAAAACTTAAGCAGGGGAAGTTTAGATTGGATACAAGGAGGAAATTCTTTCCTGTTAGGGTGATGAGGCACTGGAATAGGTTGCCCAGGGAGGTTGGCAGTGTTCAAGGCCAGGTTGGACAGAGCCTTGGGTGACATGGTTTAATGTGAGGTGTCCCTGTCCATGGGAGGGGGGTTGGAACTAGATGATCTTAAGGTCCTTTCCAACCCTAACTATTCTGGATTCTATAATTCTATGAAATCAATAATTGAAGTTTCTGCTTTGTTACTACAAAACCTTGGTCTCTTAGCTGGAGAACTGTTACAGAGAATATAGTAAGCAGATGTCCGTGGTCTTTTGATTTACACACTGTTGTATTCAAGATGGCACATCATATTTCAGAGTCAGTAACACATACCTAATGGGACTTAATTATTGGTTTCTTCTCAGGAGTAAAGCTTGAGGACATTGGCTACAGTAAACATGTTTTGAAGTTTTAATAAGATTTTAAACTTCAGAGATACTATGTTGAAAGTTATCTGTAGCTTGGCAAATTTAGGTTCCTTTTGAAACTGCTAAGTCTTAAAAATTATACATACCTCTGTGTGTCGTGTTACCCAGAAAATTGTGTTCTTTAGACAAAAAAAAAGGGGGTTGTTGTTTCTTGATAATAATATTTTAGCATGTACAAGTACATGGTGTGACTTGAATCAACTGTACCTCAATATGAAAACCAGGCAATTCAAAATAATTATTACATAGATGCATTTTGGGCAGAATTATTATACTTTTTGTAACAGTTCAATAGAAGGAAAGCAAAACAGTACAGAAGAATGTAAAGGCATTTCAGCGTGCAAATAAATTGTAAAGTCCTTTTGAAGTATCGTGCTTTCTATAATAACAGGTGTATGTTTTGTTTTCATTAAGACCTTGCTTGGTAAAGATTTGGCCTTTAATAAAAATTCTTTGAGCATGAGCCTTGGTTTTATGTAAGATTGGAACCCAGTTCCTTTAAACCTATGACATAACTACCAAGCAGCTTGGAGAGCAAAATCAGGCCTTCTTAATTTGTTTTGCATCACTGTATGAAAGTTTTAGTAACATAGTCCAAACCATTGGCTCATGTTGATTCATGAAAAGTATCTTACATAGGGTTTTTTTTGCATTGTTTCACTGTTCTCTAAAAGAGATTATATTACCAAAATGATAATTTCCTAGTGGGAAAAGGTACTTAACAATCTCTGATTTATAGACTTGCAGAGGATCAAGATAAAATGTGTTTTAAAAGCTGCTTTTGATAATTCTTGTATTTGCCTAATTAGAATTTAATTCTTGTTATTCTCTTGATTAGAAATAGCTATATGAATATTTGTTATTCATCAAATATTCAAACAGTTGTCTTCCCAAAATATTATTTGGAAATTAAGATTACTTGATTTAATTAGGCCTTTCAAGGCATAATTTATTACTCACAAATTATAATCTTCTCAGTTTCTTGGCAGTACGGAAGTGGAGCAGCCCAAAGGCACTGAAGTTGTAAGAGATGCTGTTAGAAAATTAAAGGTAAGAAGGAATTTTTAATAAGCTATAAATGGAATGTATTCTTCGCTTGTTTTCAGAGATAAGACACATTGTGGTTTTAGGTATATGCTAGAAGCAGTCGCTTTTACTAATCTCTTCATCAGTGTGTAGGTACTTACGTCTTGTGTTATTTGGTGTTTTTCTGTACAAATATTTAGTTCTAAATTATGCAACTATTTATAATACAAAGTCTGTATACTTTAATGCATAATGCTTGTTCTTTGGAAAATTTAGGGCTTCATCAATACAAACTTAGGTAGCAACAATTTATTTTACCTGCCATCCTCACTTTGTGGCTGTTGAGTACCTCTCATGATGGCACTCCAAACAGTTTGCCAGAGAATTTAAGAAAATGAACTCTTCCTAATGACATCAGTAATGCCTGACCTGCATTTCTCTGGGCTGTATGTTGCTTTCTGTGAGCCCCACTTAGGTGAGTTGCCTCTTGCTGCAAAACATAGAGTACCCTCCCACTTAAAGTAAGCTGTTCATGGCAGAGAACAGGAGTAAGAATGTTAGACCATGCCGTAAGTGGGCTGTGATAGCTCTGCGAGTACTGGCTGTCCCTGACTGCTTTTCACCTTAAACTAACACGTCTGATACACATAGACTGACTGTTAGACTGGATGGGAATGTATGTGACACTGGCATGAATGTCGTTCACCCTCCAGCTGTGATAATTGGTGATATGTCTGGAAATAAAGCTGTAGTGAGATAATAGGGCTTAAAACAAGCCAAGGGGCATTACTGCCTTGTCCTTTAGGTCTTTGTGTTGTGTTGGAAATGGCCTGTGTGCACAAACACCATCTATGTGCTGGTACACAGATGGCTGAGAAAACCAGACATTTAAAATTTCTTCTTGGTTACGTGTCTTTGGGCAATGAGGGACTCAGCAGCCTATGCAAAAGTATCCTAGTGAAATGACTTGTTGAGGGTTGCTAACAGGCAACATGGCTTTGACTTGACTATTTGAGGAAGAGCTCATATGCTTAAAGCTCTACAAATGCTATGAGTTGTGGTAGGGAATGCTGATTTCATTTGCCTGCTAGCTCACATTGATGTAGAATTCCATTGTTTCATGCTTAGCTGCTTACAGCCATTGGAGCATTATTTAGACGTAATAGACGTAAAAATTGTTCTGCCTATTATTGTACTTTCTATAAGTTTTTGTGGGTTTTTCATTATTCATTTAAACAGAAGTTCCTTGGAAATGGACAGAAAAATTTGGAAATCAATACACAAAAGTTTGATTCTGTGTTGTTACTATAATAAAGGAAGAAAGAAGTCATGAAACACTAAAAGCTCAGCTTTTAGGACTGAAATTTGCCTTGAAACAGCCATCTTTACGAGATTGGTTAGTATTTTTGCTCAGGTATTGAAACAGAAGTTCTTTGCCATTATTTTTGCTCTACCAACGTAGTACAGCTGCCTTGAGATTCGCTTAGTCAATTCTTAGACCATTTTATGCCAAAAAGATTTACTCTTCTGCAGTTCATCAGAGACATTATTGCCTAGTTGTTTTCAAGTGTTTTAGGCTAATGTAAGTATGACCCTTTTTTTAACAATTGCAGCATGCTACCAGTGGAAACAAAATGTATGGTTTTGTGTGAATCTCATACAGTTTATGGCTGATACTGGAGTGAAGACTGTTGTTTAGATATTTTGTGTTTATACAGTTCTATTACCCTGAGCAAAGTAAATTCCTTGCAGAAATCTGTCAAGATAATATCCTGCTATGGAGAAGTTTTGGTTCTATTTTTATGATGTTTTATCACACTCCTCCCAAGTAAAGCAGCAGCTCTCTGTCTGTCTAACTGGGGAAACTCCAGGCTACCCTGAGCTCTTGCTGATCACTGGAGGGTTTTGGTAGGTTGGGTTTATGATTTGGTATCTTGAAATAGTTTGCTTTGAAAGCAAGACCAAAAAGTATTTCAAGTAACTGTTCTGTTAAGTATAGGAAGAGGCAGAACTATTCTAGCTTATCTGTCTTGAGGGAGGGGACAGCACACGCAGACAACAGTTGCCAGCCTAGCACTAAAACATAAAAGTAGAAATTTTTGGTATATACGTGTTGTGTCATTGAAGTATGCAGATACCTCTTCTAACATTTTACATGTTCCCTAAATAAGCCTCCTTGGAGAGATACATGTCTGCATTGTTGCTGACAGAATTACATTACTTTCATCAAGCTTGGAAGTTTGGAGCTTAGAGTTCAAGTATTACATGGGATCTTATATAATCACAGGTCTATTGGAAAACTCACAAAGTAATTAAAGGCAATTTTTGGAAAGACTTGGAAAATCTTGGAAAAAAAATCAGAAAGTAATAAAGAGGTTTTATGTCTGAAGCAATCCTCAATTAATTGAATACTCTTTTCAACACTGACTTATGTTGCGCATCTGGATTCTTTGAAGAGAAGCCTAGAGGTACTTATGCATGTGTGAACCACACATCTGTGGCTTTTTTCAGAAAATATGAACTAAAAATTTGAAACCAGTGAAAACAGCTTGAAAACTAATTTCTTATATCAAAAGAAAACATATATAGTGGTTTTTGGAGTAGGAGTTTTTGAGGTGTGTAGCTTGTGATGCTATATTGGTTTGTTGTTTTAATGGATTTGGTTTGAATCACAGTGTTGTTAATCATAATTTGGTTTTAATGAAAGTTAATAGGTAGCAGAAAAGCAGCTGACTTTCTTAATATTTGGAGCTATTTTTATGGGGGGGGGCGGAATGGCACAAATAAACTTTTGGAGTCATGTGTTTACAGTGATTTATAGACCATGAAATACTGTCACTGAAAACTATCTTTCTTAAGCCCTCATGTCATCAAACTCTGTTAGAGGAGACATTTGATACACAACTCTTCACTTCTTTTAAATCAAAAGCTCTTAACTTTTTTACAGCACAGAGACTCTTTTGCTAAACGTAGGTTTATGCAAAAACTGTAACATCTATGAACTTTTCATCCATCCTGTGGACTTACTTGTACCAGCAGGTGGAGCTGATGTTCTACAGTAAAATACAATAACTTGCGGGAAATTCTTCCTGATGCTTCAATGTACTTGTTCTATCTGAAATACTACTACTTTGTTTCCTTGACACTTGACAGTTTTGCTGGGTCAGTTGCAATTCGAATATAGAGGGATTTTTTGGACGTCTTTATTAATTTTTCTAGAGAGTTGTCCAGTATTTTTTTTCAAGTTAGGGTTTCCCCTCCTGTTTTCAAATTTCTTGGAGCTGTGCTGCAGGAGAAAGAAGACAGTTGGACGCATATGTTTTAAAGTGTTTTATTTTTATTTTTAAGATAAGGCCAACTGTTCTCATAATTCATTAGAAGCAGGTTTTTTCTACTCTGACTAATTTATAGAGTGAAATAAAAACTAAGGAAAATGGTACCAAGGTGTGACAGAACTATCAGAACATGCCTACATTATTCACATGTGCTTATGCTGTCAAATCACACTTTATAAAGCGGAATGTTTACTTTCCTTGATTAATGAAGGATGTAACTGCTAAATCAGAATGTAGGTATTAATTTGGTCCTTCTGAAAAAGTTCTTGAGGGGTTGCCAGGGGCATAAAAAGGTGAAAAGATCAGCATAACAGATGCAAAGGACATCATATAAGAAAATGCACACTAATAAGAAGCTAGTGTGGAGGGGTGTTAGGGATGTTGTGGTTTAAACCAAGCCAGTAACCAAGTACCATGCAGCTGCTCACTCACCTAAATTTTGGGGTATCAGTCTCCTTTTTTCCTGTTTTCTGTAAATAAAGATAACCAAAGATAATGTAAAAAGAGTTAATCACTGTGAAGCCACTTGAAATATTCTTATTCAGCCCCTTGGATAAGGATACAGAAATTGAAGAGTGCACCTCCATGCAGGCTGTGATGCTGTCCTGCTGCTGTCCTTAATAGGCCATCATTGGATATTATTCTGTGGCTATAATGGTCCATAATGGATATTATTCTGAGCTGCCTTTTGTGTCAGAGCTGGGTTTCACTTGTTGAAAGGACAGAGGAAGGTGGAGTACAGAAAATCTTGTAATATTGAGATGAAGATGTTTCCAGACAAGCCTTACAGCCATGGCTGTTCTCTTTCGAAGTGCTGGAGAAAGCAGAATGTGTGGTCTAGGACCAGCCAGGGACAGCCTGAAGACCAAAGCACATCAAGTGAGAAGAGTTGAAGAGAAAACCTGTTTATTCTCTCTCTCAAAAAAAGCAACCAAAACCAAAGGCCAGTCCAACAAACCACAAACAAAAACACCCAACCATAAAAAAGAAACCACGAAAACCTGCAAGAAATCCCCAAAATCCCACACAACCAAACAAAACAACAAACACTCCCACCACCACCCCCTCCCCCCGCCCCCCCCAAAAAAACAAAAAGCCAAAAAAAAAAAACCACAACCCCAAACAAAACCCCAAACAAATCCACCAGATGTCTTTGGAAAATAAAATACAGCATGCTCCACAGAAATGGATTTCTGAAACAGCTTTCTCCCTACCCAGTTGAGAGATTCAGGTTTGCATATCTGTGGCCTCTTCATCCTTCTCTTTTGCCAGCTATTTTCCAGAAGTCATAATTTCATTATACCAACATAAAATGTGCATGAGGGTTTAGACCATAATATGACCAAAAAGGTGACACATAGTCACAGCAAAAGAAATAGGGCCTTTTGTTGTTTTTCAGGGATCTTTCCTTATAATGAATATAGTTACGAGAAAAGAGGGGAAGCATCTTGTCAAAGCCAGGTATAAAGCTGTGTCTCAGTTTAGACAGCTGTGTTGCCCTCAAACAGACATTTTTAAGGTGTCCATGTGAAATGCAATGTCTGTCGTCTCCCTGGAAGCCTGTGTAAAATGAATCATGGAAACCCTGTTCCCTGGGCTGAAGATTAACACTCAAATCACAGAAACATCTGCTTTTGATGTTTCAAGTTTTTTTTATAAACTCTTGAATTGTGCAGTGAGGTGTAAAATATTAAGATAGAAACAAATAGTTTACTTGGCATCTCTTAAATAGATTTTGTTATAATTTGTTTAGCCATTATTTCTTTAACTAAAGCCCTTTGCTGTTTTTAAAGTGTGATTTTTTTTTTCTTCATATTATTTTCATTGATTAATCCTCTGATTGTGCTTTGCAAAGACTTAATGCACAAGCATTTCAAATACAATTTTAGTAAGAGTCTTAAGTATGATATTTTCCCTGCTACTGTAGTAAAAGACAGGGAATATGGAAGTTTTTTTCTTTTATTATTAGAAAAAAAAATAAGCTAAGTTAACCAATAGCAAAAAGCTTTATTTGTATTTGTTGCTTTCCCTAAAATATTCAAGAGAAATACAATGTTAATTAAATAAAAGCTATCCCATCCCACAGAGCTGCTCACATTATTATTGGGACAAATCTGAGTGTCTTGCCTGAGAGCAATATATGTATAAACTAACAGCTTAAGAATCTGGCACATCGTATCTCTTCCCAAGCCATGTTGTGATTCATTATAATTTTATATCCTTGTCCATTTTGATGCCAATGGGAGGATAGAGATTTTTACCCTCTTAAATAATCTTGTTACTGTGTAAGCTACAAATATTACTTTGTTTCAAATGTGTGCTGAAAGGGGAAGAAAATGCATGTAAATCTCCTCTGTCCAGAGGTCCCTCACATTCTGTTCAGGTAGAAGTAGTAGAAAAAATAGAAGAAAAAGGAAGCAAATTGGCTTATACCTGACTAAGTTTAGGATTTGCTGTTCATACCCTGCACAAGTTTGGGAGGTAGCCAAACTTGGCATTGTCATGAGAAAGGCAGATATAAAAGAAATTACTGATCAGTATCTCTATGTTCTGTGTTATTACACAGAAGAGGGAGTGGGCAGGAAAAGCATGAAAAGTAACTGCATCCAATTTTCTAAATCTATCTAGGGGTACTTTTCAGTTACTGTATCCTAGTAAACCTTTGATTAAAAATTTCATTTGTCTCTCTAGATGCCTCTGTTGAAGAGATTCTTCCGTGTTTTTTTTTCTCCATTAGCTTGGTTTTGATTTGATGGAGTTTCTTATAAAGTGGGCTTCCAGTCCTCTGCTAACACTTTGTAAATATCCTGTAGTTTTTCTCCAATTTGTCAGTTGCAATCCTTCTGCATTTAAAAACCTCAGAACACAGAGTCTGAGTCAGCTCTCACAAGCAGCCAATTCAGTGCAGCCATTTTTATCTTCTTGAGGATGGTTTTGAAATATCCAAGGATTGCATTAATCTTCCCAACTGTAGTTTCATGAACAGGTCCACAGTTAGCAGAAAGCCTACCATGACATCAAGACTTTAATTTTCATCTTCACAGGGTGGTTTTCCAAGAAAACAAGTTTGTTCCCATATGTATAATTTGCAGAATTGATATGGCAACAGAGGTGGTTTGTTTGCAATACAGGCAATTTGTGGTGGTCTGGCTGGTAAGGTATTTTCTCTGTTATTTGCCCCTTCATCAGCCTTCATGATCTGCAAGCTTCCTCTGTAATGGTTTAGATTTCAGTTCATGAGTTACTTTTCTCCTTATTTTTCTTCTAGTTTTTTCTGCCTGCAGATTTTATCCGTAATTATTTTCCTTCTGGTCATTGTTCAGTAATGTCATGCTTAAGAAATAAACCCTGCTGGAATACATTAGAAACATATCTTCCCAGTGACGATTTCCTGTTTATAACTGCATGTGGAGGCTAATGTAGCTAAGTTAACTAATATTTTCTTTGTATTGCTTCATTTCCCAAATATAACAGCATTCAAAACTCAGACAACTGCTTTGCCTATTTTGACAAGCTGCATTTTTTGTAAAACCCATAGTGATCACCATTAATTACATCTCACTTGAATTCTCCGGTTCTTGAACTGGATTTAAGCCTTTTGAGAAGGAGATGTGATAGGGCTATTTTGTTTACCCTTTTTTTTAGTATTGGCACAGGAATATCTTCTGGAACTTCCTCACTTGTAAGACTTCTTGGCTACTTGGAGCAAGCTTTGGCCAGCTGTTCTAAAACTCATGCAGTTTATTCAGACCTACTTTTAAAAGTTCTCATGGAGCTGTTGGGGACTCTGAGAAGATGATTACAGTTGGAAAACCAAGCATTATTCTAAACATATACTATGTCTTTAACTCAGTAAAATCAGTATTACTTATGCCTCCTCTGTTGCTGCACAGAAATATTTGTGAGCTTCTGGTTTTAAAGGGGCACTGTAAAAAAGCCAGAGTTCATTCAGCTTACAAGGCTGTTTCAAACTGAGATTGCCCCAGGGTTATCTGTTGTATAGTCATGTTTCTGTACACTCTAAAGTACATTGGAAATTGAGATGCCCAAACTGTCGAGGTGATCTGTGGTTTTTGTGGTCATTCCATTTAATGCATAGCAAAGAAAGACAAGCAAAGATCCCTGTTGTACTATGAGAAAGGACTATATAAATCCTCAAAGTCGTATCCGGTAAAAGGACTTAATCAAATTACAAATCAGAAAAGAAAGTTGACAGAGTGGGGGTATTGAAAAAACATACAAAAATTATCTTGGAGACAATTTTAGTTTAATATTAATCTTGGAAAAAAATATCTGTGCTAATGAAACATTGATTGGCTTATTATTTGCCTATTTTTTAAAGTGGAGAGTTAAGAATAAAACGGGTTAAACTGCTGGTATAATATTTAAGTCACATTTTGAGGGATTTTTAATTAGTAATTTTTATTAAAGAAAAATTATGTTTTTTCTGTAGCAAATTTGAATTGTCTTAGAAGGTCAAGAGAAGTTGTTGGCCATAATGCCTGTAAACAAGTGATAAACTTTTTTAAATTTTATTTTCTATAATTATTTTTTTATTATAAAACGATGCTTATAAGATGACCCTCCTCTATTAAAATAAAGGGATCAGAATAGCCATTAAACTGTATTAAAAGTATACGCTGAATATGTGAGAAATATTCTTCAAGATAAATAGGAAAGGAAGAGGATTCAAGAGCTGTATTCATATGATACTGAAGTGAGGCAAAACTAGAAGGTACGTAGAAAAACATTAGAAAAACTACAAGTTATGTTAGATTTGCTTGACTTTTGACTGGTTGTTTTTTCACTAGTGAGTTGTCATGTCTGGCTAATGACTGTAGTGTTCTAGCTGTTGAAATGTAATACGGGTATTTAGATTTAAGTTGGTTTTGAGAATGGCATGGAGTGGTTTAGGTGGGCTGCTTTGTTTGGGTTGGTTTGTTTGGTTTCTGTTTTAACTAACTTGTGAAGCCTGTCAAACTGTATCAGCTCATGTGATACATTAATCAGTAGTAAACTAGATAGGTTATGTTACTATATGAAGTTAATGGGATTAGTTATAAATTAATGTTTAATTACTAAAATTTTCAAGAAGTGTGCTTTCAAAATGAGGAGTAAAATTGGGAGGAAGGGAAAAGCAGGTTAATTGCGTGCTTTTAGGGTGGTTTGTAAAACCACTTAATAATTTGCCATGAATAGAGCTGTCTACAAGCAAAATGAAATAAAACAGATGGAGTCAGTCATATTCTGTAAAGCAATTGAGTTCATGGAAAGACTTCCCAAGTACTATACTGGCATAGAAATAATGACAGAGCAAAACCCCAAACCCTCAGTTACCACTTGAATAATCAATTAAAATGAGGGGTTTAAGCATTTATGGGGGAGGTATCAGTTGGCTGCAGTCCAATACTTGAGAATCACAATCAGGTGATTCGGTATTCTTTCTTAAAAATACATGAACACCCTTGCTGATGTCCCAGACTCTTTATGCCACTAAAAGTCATTGTATTCACTGGCTCTTTATATACTTAACTTGTACTGATAGTGAAATATGTGCTCAATTATACTTGAGTAGGAGCAAGTTTGAGGACAGTGTGTTCAAACATACAGCTGTTAAGCAGAGACCCCAACTCCTCTGGCCATCAGTGAACCATCATCCTTATTCATGCTTTTAAAAATAGCATTCTAGGGTGTCAGAGACTTTCAAAGAAAAGGGCTGGTAACAGAGCAAAATACAGAACGATTCTGTATCTCTGGTAAGAAAGTTCCCCAAATTCATGACACTTAACTGTTATGCAGTAGCAAATGTTAGGTATTCTGCTTACTTTAGATGCAGTGTTCCCAAGAGAAAGACAGGTCAACTCGAGCTACTAGAAGAGGAGATACAAAAGGATGGAAAATGAGTTGAATAGAACACATAACCTGACCCACTCATGTGTCTAGCTGTGTAGTGAACTGTTATGAAATAAATCTTGAGAATATGGTAGAAGAAATCAAATATTTCTTAGGTGTTGACAGCTGCAGCAGTTTCACCTGTTTAAAAGAACTGATTTCCTTAGAGAATATGGGAAGTTCCATATGGGAAGTACCCTGTATGCATGTGCACAGAAGTGAGTGTAGAAATAGTGGGATGTGGAAAGCATAAAAGTGTTCACTGCTCAACAACCACAGAGTTGGCAAACTGTCTGAAGGTGTTAATGTTTCTCCTGTTCTCCTAGAAGTCTCAAGCAAAAGCTTAAATTAAGTGCATAAACAGCAGATAAAAGTTTCAAGAGAATCAGCTAAGTAATTTTAATTTTCTTCCTGAATTACAGGAATATTTGTTAGTGTGCGGTCAGAAATGCTGTTCTGTGCCTATGACTTTGGGAATGGTTGATGTTGTTTGTAAGAGCTTTCTGAAGGAAGGAAGAAACAGTATCAGGTGGAAGGAGTTCAGAAGAAATGAGAAGTAGTTAAAATTAAAATAAATCCCAACATAAAGAAAACTTAGTATTAATGTGATTGCTGTTCTGTTTTTCATGTTATAGTTTGCAAGACATATCAAGAAATCTGAAGGCCAGAAGACACCCAAAGTTGAATTACAAATCTCAATCTATGGTGTAAAAATTCTAGATCCAAAAACAAAGGTGAGAGACTTCTATGTTTATTGTGCTAAACTAGTAATTAAGTACTGTTTTAAAGGTTTTTAATGTTTTTATTGTTTTCTGTTTTTAAAAAGTATTATAATGAAAGCGATTGTGGGTTGGAACTAGATGAGGTTCTTTCCAACCCTAACCGTACTATGATTCTATGAAAAATTCTTCTAAAATACCATTTCTTACTACAAGGCATGGGTGACATCCCAGTTACATGGTATGCCAAAATACAGACTGTAGCTAATGTGCGATTTAATTTTTTTAATCCTTTCACACCAAAACCTTAAAACTGAGGATGATAGAAATACTGTGATAGATGCTAATACCGCATATGGTAAACACCTTTTCAGATGGTGAATGAGGAGACAGTTTGTTTTCGGTGACTCATTCTTCATACCGCTGCCTTGGAATCGCACCTCTCTTTTCTTAACATGCTCATTTTCCCCCTTCATTTCTTGCTTTTAATTATTATTTTTCAAGTTGTATCAACCCTCCCAAGAATGTGTACATTTCTCAAGTGTGTTACCCATTTCTATATAAACTTCATGTAGCAGGCTATAAGCACTACTGTAGGCTTTTCATCTGGCACAGCATGAGAATTCCCACCTTTTCAGCCCATTAAGTCATCCCATTGATGGGTTTTCTGTTCCTTTGTTTGGTCCGGTATTTTGCAAGGGGTTACGTAGTAAGCAAAAGATCTTCCTCACAGAATCAAAGAGGAATAATGAGATAAATATAATCAAGCTAAAAAGTATTTGTTCAATAGTCAGTAATTCTTAACATCTGAATGCTCTCGTGTCTTTTACACGTATGGTGAATGTTGGATTTGCATAAACTATTTGCTACTGCTTCTTAATTGTGGAGTAATTGCTGCCATTCAGACAGTGATATTTTGAGAAGAGGTAAAGGAAATTTAGTTCAAGGCTATATATATATTTGTAATCCATTTTCAGTTCAGATTCTTAATATAACCACAATTTCAACAGTTAGGCATCAAATATCCATGTCAACTAATTGCAGGTTTTGCATCTTCCCGATGTCATAGGGCAGAAGGGGGTAGTGAACCCAAAAAACTATTTTAAAATAACAGTTTTAAGTGCCAAAATACGTTAGTCTTCCTAACTGTTCATGCGGGGATTAACATGAACTTGTGGGATGGAAGTTCCCGGGGGAGCAGAAACATTCATATCTCTAAGCAATGTTGTTATTACAACTCAAATAGTAATTAAGTACGAGTAGTCTTTTTTATTTGCCCCACTTTATTTCTTAAAACTACAATTCTTTTTGCACAATTTGTAGATGCTTTAGGAAATGATTCAAATTCCATGTTATAATCGCTGATTAAAGTAATTTTTTCTATGTGTTTTTGGAACAGGTCAGTATTATTACAGAGGAATACTGGTTTATGCGATGACTATTATGGTTTATGCAACGACTATTAGTTGTGTTAGGAACAGGTGGCTTGCTCATGAATCAGGACTTGATTTTATACCTGGCACTCAAAAAAGGAGGACTGTGGAAAAGTGGTTCTGTCCTTAAATGAAATAAAGTAGTTACGTGGATCTAGAAATGTAAAAGAGCCAGAACAAGCATATGTTGTATGTAACTTAAAGAGCAACTGTTAAAGAGAAAGAAATTAAATCTGAGATAGATCTGGGGACATGGGAGAAACAGGATGCACAGAAGAATGGCTGTAAAGACTGAGAACAGGAATGCAAGGAGAAAAGATTGTCTGTACGGTACATCTTTTTGCTAAATGGTTGCATGCAGAGAGGGCATGCCCTTGTTTATGAGTTTGTAGCAATCTGGGAACCCCAGTGCTGCACAGAAACTTTCTTCTTTTTTTTTTAATAGGTGACAGTTAATATCTAAACTGCATATTTTCCTTTAAAACAAATGCTTCTTTCCCATGCAATAAGCCAAATAAAATAAAATACCAAGACGAGACTTGTTGAAGAAAACCAACGAAAAAAGTAGTTGAGATAGTTTATTTCAGTCTTTTCAAGCTCTCTCAGTGGAAGAGCATTGCCACCACAACTTTTTAAGTAGTTGGAACATGCTTTTTAATGGAAAGTGCAATATAGTATTGAAATATGCAAATAATGTTTAAAAGCTGTTTTGTGTTGCACCTTAAGTAAGCAGTTATTTAGATGTCTAATTTATTTCTCTATGCTCCTGTATTTGGATAACAGAAGTAATTTTATTTCTATATTAAAGATAGAAAGGCAAGCACTTATTTCAGTGAAACCATTTTAATAAACCCTGGGAGATGATGAAATCTAAAGATGGTACGCACCTGGAAAAAGAACAGGATATTTTACAGAATCAGTCCCTAAAATTAATTGCACAGAGACACAGATCAACCGTAAAACAAATTTTCTAAAACAGAAATTACTGCCAAGTAAATACTTCCAGATAAATGCTGTCCAAATAAAAACTTCCTGCTTACATTGAGTAAAAATGGGAACATTTGTTAGGAGACGAGTCTGCTAACTTCTGTTATACTCTAGCTTCATTCTTGGGGACTTTCATGTACAGTGAGAGCCATTCGAAATGCCACTGCAGTTTGCCTGCTCTTACGCACATCAGGAAATCCAGAGATTTACTTTGTGCGTCTTTATCCTGAGGAAGTACAGTAATTTCTTGAAAACAAATTTTTGTTTTTTTTTATTTTTATTTTCAGGAAGTCCAGCACAACTGTCAACTCCATAGGATATCATTTTGTGCTGATGATAAAACTGACAAGAGAATATTTACTTTCATATGCAAAGACTCAGAATCAAATAAGCATCTTTGCTATGTATTTGACAGTGAAAAGTGTGTAAGTATTCAAGATGCTTTAAGAGAATTTGTGTGACTGTTACAGACTTTGATTGCTTTGCTTTGAAATAAACCAGGGATGGTTAATAAAGGCAGACAGCCTGCCTTTTGATTGGGGTCACTTTGATACAGTCTTTCATGCCATTATAATGTCTTGTTAACTTAGATGCATTTATTTAAAGGCGAGCCTTTTTTTTCATTGATCAAAGGTGGTTTTCTGGGGCAGTTCTTACTACCCAGCTCAATATCCTAGGCCAAGCATTTGCAGTGCTCTCAAGGAACAGGCTTCATCCCTCCAAGCTTAAAATGTTTGCACAGCTGTTTTGCAGAGATTGCTGCAATCCTGTGGCTGAGATACCCTCACAGGCTCTTCTGAGATGGAACAGGGCAACCGTTCAAAAATGTGCAATAGCAGGAAAAAAAGTAAGATAGGCATTAAAGAAAATGGTGTCCAGCTGAAACAGGGTCATGTGTTTATTCTAGCAGAAAGTAATAAATAAAAACAGTGGAATCATCACCAAAAATGGATGTTTTAGGGTTTTTTGTAATCTGAAGCTTCTCTTTTTGTTTTATTATGAAGTAGCTTCATGCTACTTCATGCATTTCTTTTTTTTCTTTTTTTTTTTTTGGATGCATATTCACTTCTGTTTATATGCAATTACGTAGTATTATGTGTTACTTCACAGTTTCTGGTAATTTTGTTGTTCACCTCCATTGCTTCAGTGCCTTCAGTAGATATTGTTCATAATTACTATATACATCTGTTAATTTCTCTGCAAATTTCTATCCTGTACCTCTTTGCCACATATTTTCCCATGATTTTAAGTTGCCCTTGTAGTCTCCACCCATTAGTACCATTTTTATTCCAGACCCGTGCACCACTGTTTCTTCTCTCTAACCTGATACTTCACTAGATGTACTTTTTTCCTGTTTCACTCTTTGCTCATTAGTACTTTCAGATTTAAAAGAATTCCACCTCAGTTGGTACTTCTTATTTCGGCCAGCTTTTGTTTGTCCTCCCAAGAAGGCAGGACTGCATACTTCCAGTGTCCATTACAGTTTTCTTTTACTGACATAAACAGTTGCTCTTTAAAGCAGTACTGGTTCAGGATTTTTTGGTCTAATTGGGTAAAAATAATTTCTTGTGGTTTTATTTTTTTTTATTTATTTATTTTATTTTTTAAATAAAGTTGGCTGGGTGGCTTTTTTTTTTTTTCCCCAAAATAAAAATATAGAGGGGTTAATTCCTTATTCCTGTAGAACTCAGGTCTTCACACAACTCTACTGAATGACTTTACTGTTGTAGTGATGGGTAGAAGCCTGAGAGCCTCATATGTTTTATACCAGTTTTATGCATCTAGCCCTTGGTGTTCTTACAGATAGTAAAGGAAAAATGTTCCTCGCATTGGGCAGAATGCTCTGCTTTCATGAGAAAAAATCATTTTCAGGTTTTCATTTCAATAAAGAAGATAAAGTTCTAGTTTTGTGTTAGCCAGATTAATGTTTTCCAGCATTTCTTGTTCCCCTGACAGTTGTTTAAAACCACAAGTTATTACTGTATTTACTTTGTCTACTAAAGTTCTAAGGCAAATGGCATAGCCATGTGTTCACCTTTTATTAGTGCCTCTTGTAAGTCAGCATTTTCTTTCTGAAACCTTTGTGTGTCCTATACTCTTATTTTTACCCCTGTTACTTTTAAAGTAGATTTTCTGCACTGGTGTATATACAGATCATAATATATGATGTGAATCAGCATAGAACTACTAAATTATTCTATTTTGCATGTATAGATTCAAATACTATTTGGTTAGATTTTTTTTGTCAGAGATACATTTATCTACCACATACTGTTTGAGATTTTATAGGACTTGTAAAAGTAACTTGAAATCCAGATTTAAAAGCAGTAGGGAGTCAAAGCATCCATATGAAAACATGAATCCATTAAAAGTAAAACAGTTTATTTAATGATTGAAAAGCCTGTATTTGCTTCAGAAATCAACAGAAAATAACATACTGCAACATGCTATCTGTATTTACAGAAGCTAGAGGCATAATTTGTACTAAAAATTAGCTAATTGTGTTCTGCCTATTCAGTCTCCCTTCTTTATCTGCAGTTCTTTTAAGTTGCTTTTGTAGCATTTTCTGTCAAGTTATTTTGCTGAAGAGTGTTTGCCATGCTCCTTTGTGGTGTTGACTTCAGGTTGTATGAAGCAAACCCTTTGAACATGATATATGGTATAAAGTATTTTATGATCATCTGAAATAAAAGTAATTATATAAAATATTCTTATACTAATTTCAATCTTATGTTTTATGTAAAGGCGGAAGAGATAACTTTAACAATTGGTCAAGCATTTGACTTAGCTTACAGGAAATTTCTGGAATCTGGAGGAAAAGATGTTGAAACAAGGAAACAAATTGCAGGTTTACAGAAAAGAGTAAGTTCTGAATTATGTTTTTTAAAGAGATAATATGCTACTGTATTATTTTGTTATTTGCTTTTTGTGACAGCATAGTTTCCAGCATTATTCTCAGATTGCTAAGAACTGCAACAGAATAAAAAAAGAAAGCTGAAAAAAGACGTGATAACTGTGAAACAGTATTTTATGGTTTGCCATCTTGCAAGGTCATTAAAGAGAAAAGCAATATATAAGTATGGAAGATAGCAAGATTTAATTCTTGTTTGGTAATCAAATAACTACTGCTTCTAAATCACCATATCTCAGATGAAACTTACTCTCAGTAGATGCTGTTGTGAAATGAATGACTATCCCAATACCTGCTGCAGTAACCACTTACTTTGTAGATTCAAGAATTAGAAACTGAAAACACAGAACTGAAAAATAAAGTTCAAGATTTGGAAAACCAGTTAAGAATAACACAAGTACATGCATCTCCAGTAAGTACATGAACATAAATGTTATATCTAAATTTATAATCATTGTTACGATAATTATTAGCATCCATTCTGGTTCCAGTGATCGTGATCAATCGTGTAACATATATGTTGAAATGCGGTACTGAAGTAACAGTAGGATTGTGACAAGCCAACAGAAATGCAAATTGCAGACTTCCAAATTGTGATTCTTTAATCCCCTTGTCATACCTATTTGTTGCTGCCTAAATCCAGCGAATACTCATTCTAGTAGATTTCTGAGGATGAAGAACTCTGTTTTGCACTTAGAGGATCTGGTTCACAAATGCTACTTGGGATTTTTCTAGGAATTTCTGTCACAAGCATAGTGTTACTTACAACTGATATTGGCTAAGTGAGTTTTCAAAAATTTTGTCTGTCTTTCAGAAGAGTCATTAGGTCTCGGGAACTAACATGGATAGGTAGGTAAAAAGGAGCAAGTGTGGCTTCCTCATAATTGGAATTTTCTAATGCTTTCTGCAGTTCTTGTAGGTGATTGTGACAACAGTACTTTTTTAAATGATTGCCTGACAGTTTCTTGTATCTAGGTGGATAAGAAAAAAATGCAGGTTTCATTGCAGTCTGATCCTAATGACTCCCCTCTTCTTAGAAGTGTGTTCTATCTATACAACATTAGGTAACTGAAACTAAATAAAATTTCTTAATGTGCATATAGAAAAATTTTAGAAAAAGATGGACTGCTTTTTAGCTGTGCATTTTGGGCTGCCTTGTACCTGCCCTGCATGTACACAATTTCACTTTAAATGGATGTTTAGATTTAGATTTTGGGCAATGTGAAAGGATGTTTATAATGGTGACGGCAATTTTTTCACGAGTGTCTATACACACTCCTGATACTGATTAGGGGCTTGTTCCCATGAGGAACTGTCATTTTGTTTTACTAAAATCTAGAGGAGAGCACCATAAATTATAAATACTACATAACTGCCACTGTGGAAGTGTAAATTATGGATGTCTTCTCAATTATGAAGCATTCAGTGATAGGTAGTCAACTTTAATGCTAGATTTAAATTCAATCTAGTTAATTCTTTAATGTTTAATTTTCCTCAGTTGGGATGGCAGCTAGCTTGATTTTAATTATGAATACAATAACTAAATGTATCTTTGAATTCAGTTAAACAAGCTCTTAAGTCTCTTGTGATAGAAACATTTCTCTTTCATTTAAATTAATGAAGAATTTGGTAATTACATTTAGTGACAAAATTATTAATAATGATCTAAAATATCCTGTAGTTTGTGATTTATTTTGTCTTGTAAGGCAGTATTGTCTCATTCCTTATTAAAAAGGTGAGATCAAAAATTGTAAGTTTGACAGTCGTTTGTAAATACTCTCCCTAGATGGTGTTTTATTGTTAATTACTACTGGTACAATGAATATGCATATTGCTCAAATAACACTTATGTTACAACAAAATTATTTAATATTGAGAATGATTAATATTAAAATAATAATGCATTATAGTAAATCAGTACCAGCTGTTAGTTTTCACACATCATTTTATTGTTTTATTTACTTCTTAGTCTTTAAAAAGAAAACCACAGACATATCCTGTCACAGATTTAAGTTTCCTCATCATTAGAATTACAGTAAGAGCAATCTAACAGCCCATTTAATATCTAGATCAATTCTGCCACAAAATAGATTTATATAAATGAATAAATAATTGGAACAAGTTGCCCAATTTGTATGTACTCTTGGAGATAATCAGTTGAGCAGCTGATAATAAAACAAACAGACAAAACCAAACACATTTTTAGGAAAATGTCTTTCTTCAATTTAGGAACAAAACTGTGTCCACAAAATGCTATTAACTTTTGTACCAAGAGACATCATTCAAGTAGGTCTGTTTTAAGCGTAATTGTGTACCTTGTAAATCAGAGCTCTTAAATATGGTAGCATAAGTACATATAAATTCAGCAATTAGGTTGAAAATAAGTGAAGAAATGGGATAGGGAGGTTATGAATTGACTTCAGTATAGGGAAAAGAAAGCATAAATATTTTTAAGATTGAGTCCAATAAAGGGATCAGATGTCAAAGTGGGTGGAATAGCAGTGGATGTGATTTGATGATACCTGTCTCTTCTTTTACTATGAGCAACAAATATGTATGAAAGAAGGAAATTACAATTCATAAGACAATTGCCTATTAGTTTGCAATTAGGTTTTTATATTTTTAATTCAATTCAACTATAATTTCAAGAATGAGATTGCAAAATATCAACTCCTATTAGAAAAAAGAGCAGAAGTGGCACAAAGAATATTTTCTATTTCCACTAATTTCTATGATGAAAAAGATCACTTTGTTTTTAAAAAGCTTATGAAAGATTTTTTTTTTTTCTGAATTTAAATTTAAAACTTTTAAGTACCATATGGCTAAAAATATCTGTAACTGCTGCTCTGAGTCTTCCTGTTTTGGAAGACAAAATTTTCCATTTTGAAAAGAAAAATAGCAGTTCTATCTTGTGATTATTTTGTCAGAAGTAAAACTTCTAAATCTGGCAATAGTATTTTGTTAAATACTGAAATAAAATAGCTTGCATTAATGAAGCAGAGTATGCAGGATCAGGAGTAAGATCTCACCTGAATCACTTCTCAAGTACTTTTGGTTAGATATGGGAAAACTTGCTTCCCTGCAGATACTCCTTTTGTTACATAATGTGAATATAACATAACCATTCCCATTATTTAAAGGAGATTTATTAAATGACAGATTTCAGGTTTCCTCACAGCTCTCATATCCGGGCTGTTGAATTATGAAGAGATACCAATGCCATATGAGTGATTTCTGAAACTTTTTTAAACAGAATAAGTGATTTATTTATATTTAATTAATTTGATGCAGCTATTATTCTTTATGTGTCGGTTCATTTTGATGTTATTCTGTGTGCTGAGATCTAGAGAGTGATCATTTAATGATTGGTAGGAAGTTTAAGCCCTCATAGTTAATACCTAAATGTGATAAAAGTGTATGTGCCATCATTACTAGCATTGCAGTAATTTGTAAAGAAATAGTTTCAGGAGCCAACTACAGATGACTATAAGGTTGCTTCTGGTTTTGCTTAAATAGTACCTTGGATTTTCATATCTTATGCTTTCCTTTTTGTATTTGGTTGCTTACATGTGCTTTCTTAACATTTGCCAGCTGTGCTGAAATGGCTTTCCTGTCTCTTGACTGTTCTCTTCCTTTAGTGATTAATGCATGGTCACAGACGCACTTGCTAATCAGCAATTGATTTAACACTTCAGAAGTCAACACTGGCAACTTGATTAAACAAGTATATGGCTAAGGAAACAGAAGGTATTTCAAGGTCCTGTGATGACAGTTCCCAGAACATGACAAATACAGACACAGAAATCGTGTTCTGAGCTGCGTCCTCTTCTTCAATCCTGCAGTGCTATGGAATGGAGACCAGAGGCCATGTGGTCTAAGCAGGCACAGTGTCAGGCTGACAGTGGGTGTCTATTTTCCTTTCCTGTGAGAGAAGACTTAGGGCTTTTAATATTTACTGCACCTGTAGTATGAAACAGTGCAGTTACAGTGTCTGTAACACTGCCATGCTTTATTTGATAAAATACTTTCTAGTACAGAAAGTCTTTCCCACTTGTCAGTAACTGAAAAACCATGGTAAAATTTTTATTCAGTGCCAGTCTATCATTTATTTATTCCTACTTCTTCCATCTGATGTTGATTGATTTTTGTGTCTTTAATTATTTTAGACACATTAGTCTTCCCATTAATGAAGTACGTAGAAAATAACTTCAGAAATTTGAAGTTCAGTACTTTTTGCATTATTTCACTGACACTTGACACTGTTTTGTATTTATCAAAAGCCATTTCTTCTTGTTCTGACAGTAAAGCTAAAGCTAGACCATAATTTTCCCATGAACAGGACCAGATTGCATCTCTGTTCTCATTTCAGTGCCAAAAGGACAATAGAATCTTTAAACTGTGCATGGATAAACTTAATATGTATATAGTTTTAAATGTTTGCCTCATTGCACATTTAAAAAAAACCCCACACCATAATCCTGCCATGCTTCAGTTGTAAGTAGGTACATCCAGACTGTCATTTAAAATAAAATCATCTGATTTTCTGCTGTCATTTAAAATAGTCTGACTAACTAAATCTGAAGGCATACATAAAGCCATTTGCTGGAATTCAAGCGCAGGATTAAATGTAATACTATCAAGACTTAAAATTTAGATCCTCTTTTGGTTCCAGAATGTTTTAAAAATATCAGAGATGCTATTTTATATATGTGATGCTCAAGAATAAATTGGGTTTAGCAGTCTGGACTGCAGTGTGTGACTTTACTGACAGATTTACTTTTCTAAAAGGAGTTGGTCACGTGTTTGCATACTGAACTCTTGGGAAATAGTGTGGAACTCTTATTTGCAAAACATAATGCTAAAACATCTTGCAGCCCAGAAAGCCAACCGTATCCTGGGCTGCATCAAAAGGAGCATGACCAGCAGGTCGAAGGAGGTGATCCTGCCCCTCTACTCTGCTCTTGTGAGACCTCACCTGGAGTACTGTGTGCAGTTCTGGTGTCCTCAACACAAAAAGGACATGGAACTGCTGGAACAAGTCCAGAGGAGGGCCACGAGGATGATCAGGGGACTGGAGCACCTCCCGTATGAAGACAGGCTGAGAAAGTTGGGGCTGTTCAGCCTGGAGAAGAGAAGGCTGCGTGGAGACCTCATAGCAGCCTTCTGGTATCTGAAGGGGGCCTATAGGGATGCTGGGGAGGGACTCTTCATTAGGGACTGTAGTGACAGGACAAGGGGCAACGGGTTAAAACTTAAACAGGGGAAGTTTAGGTTGGATATAAGGAGGAAATTCTTTCCTGTTAGGGTGGTGAGGCACTGGAATGGGTTTCCCAGGGAGGTTGTGAATGCTCCATCCCTGGCAGTGCTCAAGACCAGGTTGGACGAGGCCTTGGGTGATATGATTTAGCGTAA